TTGGAATAATCTCCCCAGGGAAGTGGTGGATTCTGCTATATTGGACACTTAAGATTCAGCTGGGCAGGGTGCCGGGCCGTCTTGTCTAGACTGTGCTTTTGCCAAGAAAGGTTGGACCAGATGATCCTTGAGGTCCCTTCCAACCTGGTATTCTATGATTCTATGAAGATTACTTGTTATCACAGGTTGTGATAATGTTTAAAGGTTTGACTTCATCTGCACAGGATGTTATTTTTAAAGCAGACTATGCACAGCAGAGAAATACAGATTTTTTTTTTTTCTGTTCTTGTCTTTCCCTTAGAGCTCAGAAGAAGGAGAAAAGCTTATATTAGTGGTTTTCTGCTACAGTAAGCCTATTATGCTTGCTGATTATTACTTGTACAAATTTTCATTCGCAGATAGTTGCCCAGTTGTACCTCTGTGCATTAACCTCAAGTTGTTTATTCCATGAAAATTTTATTGTGAATCTTTAGCAACTGTTATAAGCAATTCTTTTACCTCCTGAAGCTGAGTTTCAAAGAACGTGGCAATGCCATCTCTGTGGCCAGTAGTTAGCGTTGGAGTCTTTATCCTTGTGTGTGCTTGCTGTTCACTACAGGAATGCGTTATGGAGACTTTCTTACTACCATCTGAACAGGTGCTCTAGCATGGTCTTATCACAGCAGTTATGCAATTGTGTATCATGTATGTATTATTACAGCTGTTATTTTTGCTGAAGTGCATCCTCTCAGCCATCCTCGGTGAGATGCAACATGTGTTACTGAGCTGTTGTTAGCTCAAAGGTTTTTTTTCTTTCACTTATCTATTGTCTTTCATCCTCCCTTTACTTCCTTTGGACATGTACATCTGTAACTACCTTCCATACACCTGCTTTTCCTTTAGTGACAAACTTCTCTGGAATGGAGTAAGATGAACCCCCTGGGGTTGTTTTCAACCTCTGTTGATGGCACGGTGTGGAAGAGAGGGGCATAGAGAGCCCCCTATTAAGCTAAAGCAAAACCAAACAAACACCACCACCTCCATCTTGTATTTGTGGCTCATGCCTAGTGTTTAAATGAACATACATGTTACGTATGTTGAAGTTGGAGATTCGCTTATAGTACATCTCCACATGTAAGGCAAGTCTTTAAGTCTCTATTGCTTGGGATACAGTTTGTCTCTTGCTGCAGGGAATGAAAAAGTTAAGGTGTTGGGGTGTAAAAATGCAGACTTTCTCAGTCTAACGAACTACGTCTTATGTTCTTGAAAAAGAAAGATGAGTTGTTCTGAAAAGGGTTTAAATTTTTTTAATTTTTTTTTTTAGAAGAAAAGATAGACAGCTTAGATGTGCTTTGAGATCATTACTAAAATGAACATGTTACTGGGCCAAGCCACATGTTTGGCATCACACCAGAACAGTATTGGGCATCATCACAGGAAACGCCTCTCCAGCTGAAGCTAGCAGGAACAGTGTTAGGCAGCTGGTGTTTAATCCTGTGTGCACGGCTAAGATTGTGAGAGAGAGAATCTGGAAAGTGTTAATACTCTATTGAATGCATGGCTTGCAATTCCATTATTTGTTTTTTTAGGGGTTTATTTGGTTTAGTGACTTATATAATTAAGATCCTGAAATTGTCTCTTATATGAATGATGGCACACACAGGCACTGTTATGCCTCCTCTAATTGTGCTGAAGCATTTGTTTGAATTCTGGTATTCACTGAGATGAATACCCTGTATCAGGCAGCCACTATTTCTTCCTGAGCACATATTCCTTAATCTTGACATCTCCCTTTCAAAGATTGACCCGGTCTTGACTGGAGATCAGCAATATTCGACCGAGACAACTTGAGAAAATTCCAGTGTGATGTCTGAGCCTTTTGCAGAAAATTAGATGTCTGAAAGTGTACAATTGTTACTAAATCATCTAGCACTGCTTAAAAAGGTGCAAAATAGGAAGTTGGAAAGTACTAATATTGTAGTATCCTGCTTTGGCCTGCTGTCTATGATCAGTGTCCCTGACATTATTAAACCACTATTATCCCTGGCTGTCAACTTTGATGCTAGGTGCTGTATTTGTACTGTTTGCATCAAACATGCTTGGATAAGAAGTTTAAGTGAATGTAATGCAAATGTCCCCACTGTTGTAAAATAGCTTTGTCATCTAACACTTTTATTTATTTCTTTAAAATGGCTGTGAGAGATACACACCAATAGAATGTGGGGTTTTTTTAAATATTGAGACTTATTTGTAGATAAAATATGAAGTTTACCTTTGTGTTAATGAAGTTGCTGAGGTTAACTGTAGCAATTCTAAAACGTGTTCCTGTCACTAAAATTTAATGCTTCAGGATTTATTTATTTGTAATCCTCTTGCATAGTAGTGTAAAGAAGTAAAATAGTCTGTGTGTGGATATATTTAAAACATCTTAATGTGTCCTCATGGTCTTGCTGCTTTTGTTTGATTTAGATAATCCCGTGCTAATATTTATTTTAATGTTTTTTAAATGCCTTTAAAGTACAAAAAAAGTCACTGCATTGGCCCCTTTTTTTTTTTTTTAATTGCTTTATGGCTGGGGTATCATTTGCGTTTTTAACTTCCTTTTCATTTGAAATTATTCTACTTTGACAAGTGAAAGTAAAAATGCCATTTGATCCAAATACTATGTGGTCAACAGCAACCCACTATTAATTGCCAATGTCTAAAGCCTCTTTTTCTTTATAATGTTCTTTGATTCAATTAGTAATCAATAATAACTTCTTCAGGTTTTATAAATGAGAAGTTTACATAGACAGCAAGAAACTTGTTAATAGTTTAAAGAATTATAGGCAATATAGGCAAAACCTGGTAACATGGCTTAATATTCCTTAAATAGTTTAAACAAAATGACTGCTGTGAGGTTTTAAGGGACCTATAATATGCCAAATACTAGAGGCTACAGAAGCTGGTACTTTAGGGTAGCGCAACTGCTGATTTTTACCTGTGATTCTGTTAATGCTCTGTTACTCCATCATTTTCAACTTGAAAATAAAGGTACCTACGTTTGAGCAATCCCCTTCTCTTAGCCCTACTGGGCAGCTGGCTTGCTTTGTTAAAGAGTATAGGAATTAAAATAAGTAAGTTTAAAACAAAACAGCAACAACAAAAAACTCTTTGACCATAATATCTGTAATGTTTCAGTGGAGAAAAAGATGTTTCTATTATTTGCTTATAGAAGAAAATAGGAAGGTCAAGAGTGGGAGGAAAACTTTAGTAGTTGGTAAAAATATAAAGTGGAAAATTTCTCCAGTAATGTTAGTTACCTTTGTAATATTGGTAGCAATTTGTTACATTTTTCAATTTAATGGGGAAAAAAAAAAACCAACAACCAAACCCTGCTGAGATTATGATCCATGTTTACTGTTAGGTTTACTTTCAAACTATAAAGTTTGAATGGTTTCATACCTGAATTCTGAGTATAATCTGCTTTTATGTTTTACATTCCCTCATAAAAAGCTTCAATGTTAAAATCACATTATTTTTTTTAAAAGAAGTAAAATAGGCTTTAAAAGATACTGCCTGTCATCTTCACAAAGCTTCAGAAAGGTGGATATTGCTCTTTCTGCTTTACGGACAGAAGCTTAGTGAAAAGTTAAGGTTTGGTTTGTTTTTTTTTTTAAAGAGGCGGGAAGTCTGAGATTGATGATTCCTAGCACTAACTTCAGTTCCATTTCCTAAAAAAGGTTAGCAGAATGGGCCAAAATTGTCCTTACTTGATTAAGGGCGGGGAGATATTTTTACCATGTAAAATTGCGCTGATCTTAAGGTTAAAATCCCATTCCACTTGTCCCTCTACAAACACGGTACCTTATTCTCACACCTTTTTCTCAAGGGGGAATGGGCAGAAGAATGGCAAAAGTTCATCTTGCATCTCTATATGTGGGTCCTGGTAAATAAGACTTCTTCGCTGCTGCCTTTTAGGTCCTTGTTCCAAAACCAGCAGATCTTAGCAGGATCATTTGGTAGTACGGATGTTTCAGATCAAGCTGTGGGCAAACAGGTATATTTCTGTCAAATCAGAAGGCGTTAGCCACCTTATGGTGGCTGAGGGAAGTCAAGCAGTAGCTGACCTGCTCTAAAGGCAGTGTGAGGCAGGCAGGTATCTACATCAGTAGGCTTTATGTGAAAACAGGTAACAATTTTTTAAACAAATGTAAATTTACGCTGCATCTCATAGGGCCACAGCATTTTTGACCCAGCATTTACAGCTGGTTCCAGTATGTTGCAGAATAATAGTGTAAGTTCTTAATCTTTACCTTGGTTTTCACATTAACAATAGAGTAATTGCACCTGTCCCCTGCCTTCTAAGTGATGGCTGGTTTTGTTTTCTTGTGCCCTGGTGAGGGCAGGTGTCATGGACCAGATGTGAAGGGCATGCAGACTTTGCCTATAAATGAGGTGCAGAAGCCTCGGGTGGCTGCTTTGCCAAACCACCCCCCCTCCAGGACCGGCAAGTTCTGAAAGCACGTAGGCATGTGTGGTGCAGCATTTATTAATATGAGCTCAACTGTAGGGCTTCGGGGCTGGATTTGGCTCTTTGGCCAAGCCTGCCGTCAGGGAGGTGTGCCCTTACTTGTCCTCCGGGGTTCCAGGTTTTTTTATTTCAGGAAGTGTTAATAACTCAGTGAGTAAAGGAGGAAGAAACACTCCTTTAAAACTCTTTCCGAACAAATGGGACTGCTGGAGATGCTTTAAAATCTTGTGTGTGTGAAAAGTGAACTTTTAAAAAGTGTGTTTGAACTTTCATAGATTACTGTGCATGTTATTTCAGAAAGGACAATTAAGATAATATTACAATTATGTTGTTACATGTTATTGTAAAGGACCACAATTCTATAGAAAAAAGTATTTGAGTGTAGGTATAAAATAAATAGGCAAAATAGAGTGATCTTTAATAGCTAATGGCAATGCTGTCATTGGAGCAGTATGAGAGTGACTCACTGTTTTTGCTGGGTTCAAACAAAAAAGGTCAGGTTAGATTTCCTCAAATTTTGGACACGCTACATCTCTTCTGTAACAGTGGCTATAACGTTCACAGGCTATTTTCACTAGGAGCTACGCTGGTACGGCTTACATGTCATCTATCCACTGAACATCACAAAAGCTGCAGTGCTGCTTGGCTCTGACTGTTTCTAGGCTTGAATTTGAACATGTCCTCTCCATCCCCTTCACAGCTAAAGATTTTATATTTCCACATTTTGCAGCTTCATCATTATAACATTTGTCTCCAAAACATCAGCTATTGTGATAGCTTTTCTCAAAAAGCATCTTAATGAGAGGTGGGAAAACAAGCAGACCTGACAAGTCAGTGACATTTCTCTGTCTGTGGCTGGAATGCTGCATCTGGGTTTGCTTTTTTGGTGTATTGCAAAGCTGATAGCTAAAATACAAATGTGGTCATTAAATGAAGAAAAATGTTAAGGATAATTGGATTAAAGCAGGGAGTTCTGTACAGTATGTGACTGGGGGGGGGAGTCATTTTATTAACTGTTTTAAGTTATTTAAATTCTGGATGGCTGATGGTCTTCAGGCATGCTAAGAATGATGCAGATCATTAGGTTTGTAATGGTATCATTAATTGTTTCAAAAATAATCTAAATCTGTATCAATGCTACTATCAGAAACTAGCTGTGCATTAGAGTTCATTAAACAATTCAGCTGTGGGCACCTTTCAAAATTGAACAACTCCGAGACTAGTTTCAGTAAAAGGCTTGGAACAAGTACAAGTTCAGATGGAGAGCAGCTGTGTTTTGCTCTATAGATAGGAGCTTGTTTCACACAGGAAATAAGACCGCGCAGAAATAGGCTGTAGTCCTGGAGAGAGCACCGTGCTGTTTCAGTGTGTGTACGCTCCCAGTTGTGAGATGAAAACATCCCGAGGCATACTTTTTTTCAATTTTCCGGTAGCCCTTTTATTCCCTTTATCTCTTATAATATTCAGTGCATATTACGATCTTTTTTTTTTTTCCCCTGTCGTAACTTTCTTTGCATGTTTTGCTGGTTAAAAATGGCTAAGCGGTTGTCAGGAAGGATGTCCCTGCATCAGCGCCAGGGGCTCTTAATGACCTGAAAGCTCCCAGTGTGGGCTGGTTCAGAGAAAATCTTGCTGTAGGTTGTAATCACTTACTGCTGTTGGGAGCTTAAGTTCAGTTACATAGATTTCACTATAATACTCTTGTGTTAGTGGTGCTAAAGGAATAATTGCCACTTTGCCTCATTGCTGGTAACTTTTCTTTAGGGAGGAGAGAGAAGAACAACATGCTGAGTGACCTTCGCGTGTTACCATGTCTTGCCTATGCTCTGTGCCTTTCACCTCCCTTCTATTGTTATCGACATTCTTAATGACCTGAAAGCTCCCAGTGTGGGCTGGTTCAGAGAAAATCTTGCTGTAGGTTGTAATCACTTACTGCTGTTGGGAGCTTAAGTTCAGTTACATAGATTTCACTATAATACTCTTGTGTTAGTGGTGCTAAAGGAATAATTGCCACTTTGCCTCATTGCTGGTAACTTTTCTTTAGGGAGGAGAGAGAAGAACAACATGCTGAGTGACCTTCGCGTGTTACCATGTCTTGCCTATGCTCTGTGCCTTTCACCTCCCTTCTATTGAATCTTGATTATCGACATTTTGAGAGAGAGAATTTTTTAAACGTGTTTAATTGAAGCGCCAGCCAAGTTCTGCTTGCTCGAAAAGGTCTTTCAAGTTTGTGATGCATGTTTGTATTTATAGCGTTAACAAAGCCATGTTATTTGTCTTGTTCTCATCTAGGTGCTTGAACTGGGATTTAATTTCTCATCCTGTGGATCACTGAATGAGTAACAGATGGCCTTGCCTCGTCTTACAGGCGCTTTACGCTCCTTTTCAAATGTCACTAAACATGAGGATTACAGTGAAGAATTAGCTGACTTAACGGTAAAGATTTTTTCTTTTCCAAAGTATAATTGTAAAGTATTAATGTGTATATAGTAAGAATTGTTTGCTTTCTTAATTTGCATTGCTATTTTGTAAGAGTAGGCAAGCAAGACTGGGCAGAGCGTGTAGAGTTTCCTGTGCATTCCTTCAGTGTCCTCACTCAAAGTCAAATTTGCTGTAGCTTTGTGATTTATGCTATGCCCTTACAATCATAACATGCTATATGGATAGGTCGCTTGGCTGTGTTAGTACAGCCCTGTTATTTCGTGTTTCAGGAAGTTATTTAAGTTGGGCTGGGCTGGTATGTTTTTAGCTCTGAGCTTATGCAGAGCTGTGGAGCTTAACACTTCCCTTTGAATATTGAGTTCACCTCGGACTCTTGTTGGCGGATGTTTAGAATAAATTTAGTGATACTGAATTCAGGTACTTCTGCCTACTCCCCCCACCCCCCAAGAAATAATGCATTAAAGGAATAGATGCGTTGTGGGAACCTGTAATGTGAAATGAATTTGGAATCTTGGGAGCTGTAAATCTCTTGAAGTTGCAAGAGTTTGGCTTTACGGAGAATTCTGCCTTGGAAAGAGTAAAGTAGTGAGAGAGAGTGTGTGTGTGTGTGTGTGTATCCTCCTCCTTCCTTATGCACATGAAAGAGTGTAAAGAACAGGTGATAGGGAAACTGTTTGCAATCGTTACTACATACTGACTGAATGCAATTGGAAAGACGTGTTTTTATCTGGTGTTTAATTTTAAAGGAACCTCTATATACTAATTTTAAATAAATGAAACCCAAATATTTTGCATTTTCAGACTAAAAGATCAAAACTACACGAACAGTTGCTGAAGTCTGATCTTACTTGGAAGAAGATAATAAAGTTTGTTGATGACAATTTGGACAAAAAAGAACACCAAACTGTAAATGGTGATTTAAAAACAATATTACAAGCTGCAAAACAAATTGGTATGTTTTCATTCTCTAGTAGTCTAATAATAGACTGGTTTGTTGGGGTGTCTTGTTTTTTGTTTTTTGTTTTTCCAAGCTGGTTTCTGCTGCATACTTTGCATACTGGTACAATTTTAGTTCTATCTTGACACCAGGCTTGCCCTGAAATGTCTTTGAAACTCCAGTTAATGCACAATTTGGTTTTCTGTTATATTTTAAAATACCATTCCGTTGTTATGTGGATATTCTTGCTTTTTGGTAGTATGGTTGTGTAGTGTGTGGTATGGTTTGTGATCGACCTTCAGTAAGCAAAAGCAACAGCTTCTTTTTGGAATGGCAGTACTCTGAGAAAAGAACAATCTTGGTGTTGTCTGTTTTAATTCCACGTGATTGTATCATGAAAAATTGGATTGCTACATAAGCAGATAAAAATGTAAAAAAATGTTTTTTGCTTGAAGTGTTTGGTGTTGGGAAGAGAAATAAGTAATAAATTTCACTTATCTGGAATTAAGCTTTTAAAACTGAATATATATTATGGCAAAGAAGGTGTGAAAACTTAGTTTTGATTGGAAACTTAGTTTTTGGTCTACAGACTGAAACTAATTCAGCTTGTGCTGTTAGAATTTAACTTCATCAGCTCATGAACTGAGCACATGGCTCAAGCTCTAGCTGTCACATTTAAGAATTTTTCATTTCAATGTAATAGGTGTATTTTCTCCTTTTCTGGTTATGTTTCAAGTATCTTGAACAGAACCCTAAGTAAAAGATGGAAAATAAATATGGATAAATATATTTGCCTTTTTTTTTTTCGGCATTATAGACCAGAGTGTGTTTTATCACAATCCGAATGTTAACCTGCCTCCCTCGTGTTTCTATTTCTCGACAGTTCTTTTGGAAATAACTAGTAAATTAAGAAAGAAATGAACATCTAAACACAGACTTTCAAAAAAGGCTAGACAAGTTATTTGTGTCCAGCATGTAGTAATTTGTCATGCTGTACAGTTGCACAGAAGATGTCTGTTAAAGCTATTAATGGTTGTAATGGCTATTGCTTTAGTGAGTCATCAGAAGAAAAATTTCAAGTATTTCTCAAATCACTGACAAAAATGTTTTAAACTCATCTGATGATACACGTGTTCTAAACTTTGCTTTGTGGTTCATTCCTTCCACATTTGTGACCCAACTCTGTTTATTTTTTTTACAAATATTGGTCCTAATGTTTTTTTAATCCCATTTTTCTAATACAAGTAGTAGAGCTTGTGCTGTTAGTAGACTTTAACCTCTTCAGGCCAGAAGTTAAGCATGTGGCTGCCTGTCTTTCTGAGACAGAGGCACCTCTAGGAAGGGCCACCTCTCTGCCCCAACTCTGGTACCTCTGTTTCAGTGCACAGATTTCAGCTGGCACTTCTGATATGCAAGGTCTGGGGGAAAGTCATGCAAGATGTGGAGTGAGTTTGCATCAACTGTCGATGCCTAAAGTTAATACAGAAAAGGTGCAGTCTGTATTGATAACTGATCAGAGAAATAAATGTTATCTTTTCAACTTTTTGTTTGTTTGTTTGAGATTGGGAAGAGGTGCAGTCTGTATTGATAACTGATCAGAGAAATAAATGTTATCTTTTCAACTTTTTGTTTGTTTGAGATTGCCCACAGAATTCACACTCTTTCGCTAGTTCTTAAAAGATGTTTATTGCTGTGCTGCAATAGTAAAGGCAGGGTTTCAGACACAGTTGTGATGGGAAGGGAAAAAAGTCCTGTTTGGTACGCATGGTCTAGAAATGTCTGTATGAACAACACATTTTGGAATATAGAAAGGCTAATGAGATTTCTCTCAGCACTCCATTTTAATAGCGTACGATTGATGTAATTTTTAGAAGTTATACTTTCCATTTTTCTGACTTCTTTTCCATGACAAAAATTCAGTTGTTTTTTTTTTTTATTATAACATTGGGATGTTGGGAGATGTCAACACAATCAGACCTGGAACAGGCACTGACATGGTGTTACGGGGATGCTTGATCTATCTGTCCCACATGCCCCCTTACTAGCAAGTAAAGCCAGCCAACTCCTCCTCAGTCCCTAGTCCCCCTGACCATGCTAGCAGGTTTGAAATATGTGGTATGGTCAGAACAACAGGTTGGTTTATTGTCCTGCTCCAGCTTGTGGTGATCAAGTGCAGGGCTGCCTGACAATTACCCCTCGACTGTCCAAATGACAACAATTGCATAGTTCATATTCCCCTTTTCTCATTTCTTGGCGCTCCTCCTTGCTGCCCTTTTTGCCTCTCAAATAAACAATCCGTCTGTAATTACTTTTTCCCAGTTGGTTCCCAGTTTTGTTACACATGTACCCATCCTAACATCATCCTCACAGATTGAAAGGGAAAACTTTTTAGATGACAGACAAATATAGGGCAGTTCCCAATGATAAAAAATAATTTTATTGTAAGTTGTTACAGAAATGCATGAAAGCATTCAAATCTATTGTTGGAATATAATTCATTACTAATACGCTAAATATTTTATTTTTGTAAATCTGAACTTAAAAGTTCATTTCCCTTCAGGTGGTTCAGACAGCTCTCCTGTAGTGGCTTTTGTTTCTTAGCCAGTAGAATACATGGTTGCTTTCCATACTTGTCCTCATTTTAGGTATTACAGTAATTTTTTGTAAGTAATGTAACCAAAAACTCAGTATGTGTTTTTGAGGAAAAGCTGCTCATCTGGAAATCATTGCAAGATATACTTTGTACATAAGCATGAGACTCGCCTGGGAGAGGAAGACTGAAGTTTAAGTAAGGACCTGATTCAAGTACCACTCAGGCACAGCAAACTATGTAAATCAGAGCTGTAGAGAGATTTGGCAGTGTCATTTTCCTTTAATCTGAATATTTATGTCCATAACAAGCAACTTGGAGTAAGTGGAGATGATCTATATAGTTGTTCTAAATATCCACTGGCATGTAGTTTAGTCGTAAGAGGTACTGGAGTAAAATGTTGGTTAAGTTAGGGTTGACAAATATTTAATGACTATAAAGTTTGCAGTATGACCATATGTAGTATAGCAAGTAGGAAAAAATGTCTGATGGTGGAAAAAAGGTTATAAGCAAAATAAGTATTTGCCATTCTTAGGTGAAAATGTTATCTATGAAAATGATTTGGCAGATCTGTGTTTTCTGTATTAATGACAGAAATGAGTATTAGCTGTGATTTTTTTTTTGTTTGTTTGTTTTAGTTGGTTTTTATTTCCACTTTTTGCCAAACATGGCTGCAAAAACTTTCAATTTTTTTTTTCTTTTGCCAAACTTTAATAGCAGGCCCAGTGTGGTGGGTAGGTAGAGCAAATTGAAAGACTTGAAAGTAATAATAGTAAATTTTTGTTTGATGGAGTGGAGAGGACAAACCAAATGAAAACAAATGCCTGATTATTTAGTTAGAACAAGTTAGAAAGAAACTGACTAAAGATGTGTAATGTTATGGAGACACAAACCAGGATGGATTACAGTGACTGAGGCACAAACTGAGCTGACAGTAATGTTCCAGCCATCATCATCAGGGATGTATAGTAGGGAAAGGGAATTGCTTGTATGCCTTTTTAGCTTAATTTTAAGGAGATGAAATCTCAGCCTAGATAACAGATACTGTAATATTGATTTACTTGACAGGGAAAATGTCACTTACTGAAATGATCTGATTGGCTTAAAAACAGAAAGGGGAGAATAGCTTCAAGTAGTGCATCTCTTGCCATCTTGGCTGGCTCATTATATTCGGAGGGGCGGGGTAGTATTTTCTCAAGAGATGCTTCCACGAATAGGAGACGCTGATAAGAAAGGAGAATTAGCACATAATAAACCTAAGAGACTTTTCTCAAATCCTTCAGTACAATTGCTCTTTTAGTTCAGTAGCGTGTACTTTTGTTCTGACACAAATGACTTTAAATAATCATGTGTACTTGTATGTTAGGAATGTAAGAGTGAAGTTATGCTGCCAAACTTAGGCCTTTAAGTTTTCAGATGTTGGGTTTTTTTTTTTCTTGTGATTCCTATATAGCTAATGCTGAGAGGGAGGCTGAACCACCTTTTTCCTTTGAGATATATTTACATACATATTGTATATGTGTGTATCTTTGTCACATATCTTCCATATGTAGGTATCTGGTATTATCCTGTAAATATCACCTCCAATCCCCTCTATGAACTTTTCAGCTTTTCAAAGTGCACCATAGGGAAATTCAAGAGAAATGCTCAATTTTTAGGTGCCTCCGTTTATATGTTATGTTTCTAGTTACTCAGCCTTGTTCCATCTGCTTATGCTGAATTTCTTTTGCTCTTTCCTGTTACATTGTGGGGGGGGGGGGAAAACCCTTGGTTTTGCTAGAGTTGAACCTAACTTACTTTGAATCAAGTCAGAAGTAATAATGCCAAAGTAATTAAAAATCTTCGCACTGATTTCAGTAAGTTTTTCAACAGGCAGAAAACAGGGACGTAGGAGAGCAGATACATAGGCCCATAACTGGATAGCAGAGGTATACAGAGGCAGGCACAAGACAGTTTGGTTACTGAAAAGAGACTAGCCACATTTACTATGCCAGAAGTGCCTTTCTGAGGTTTTAAAAAATGAATAATATTGTTCCTTATAAATAGTTTGTTTTAATAGTTCTTTTGAATTAGCCGTGCCGGGGGTTAATCACCAGTGTTATCACTTAAATAGCATTGTTCTCTGCTGGAGCTATGCTGGTTGCTCCTGATATAACTAAAGAATTGACCAGATAAAGGCATTTTGACAATAGCAGTTTGTAAATCTCAACAGTAAGCTTTTAAGATGTTTTAAAAATTACGCAATCTTGTAAGAAACACTAGTTCTACTAAAAATGTTGGAGTAACCTACCCAACATTTTAGAACACATTGATTTAAACTTTAAAAAAATTCTGCATGTTGTCCTCATATAAAACAAACAAAAAACCCCTGTATGCTGTTTTTGTTTATTTTATGCTTGATGACTTTTTAAATTTTGTTTAATAGTGACGTTTTGGTTCATCATATGGTGGTTTTGCTTATATTTTCCTTGAGTACCTTTGCAAATATTTGTGTAAGAGGTAAAAACGTGTTTTTCTCTAACAATATATATTTTAATTTGTATAATGTGATATTTTGTAGATATAAATCTAAATTTATGCATTTATTTGCTTTGGGCAATTTTTCTAACTAACACACATTCTGTAGTAATTCTACTGGGAATTACTACATTCTTGTACGTTTAGTCTGTTATGAATATTCAGATTAGGCAGTGAATAAACTGATACAAAGTGGAAATTTGTTACCTTTAAAAAGCTTGTAAATATACTACTGTGAGTTTAAGATCTCAGGCAAGTTTTTCCTCTTACTTGGAAAAATAAGAAAGCATTGGTAATCCTTTATATGAATTTCTAGTAAATAGAAGGATAATGAAGACAGATGCTTTATTATCATATAACTTTTACAATTCAGTACCTTGCAACAATTGCTACTTGTTGTAATGGTCTTCATTTCATATCTTTGTTGATGAGACTTGCAGCAAGAAATTGAATACAGTTATGTTATAGGCAATGAAAGAGAATTAGTTTGAAGTGTATAAAGTTACATTTGGTTTTGCTTTTGTTAACAGTTGGAGCTGAAAATGGACAAGAAGCAATTGAAAGCGGAGCTGTGTTTCTCTTTAAGACATTTCACAGGAAAGAATGTGTTGGTCATGATGAGACAAAGGCGATCAAGCAGATGTTTGGGCCATTTCCATCATCATCTGCTACTGCAGCTTGTAATGCCACATGTCGGATTGCTTCTCACTTCACTGAAGAACAGCTTACAGCCCTCATACAGATGGCTGAAGAGCAAAATGGTGATAACAGAGTGTTGTTTGGTAAAAATATAGTGTTTTCATTTGACATGCATGATTTGGATCACTCTGAGGAGCTGCCTGTGAATGGCGAGGCTGACGCACAGAAAATTATAAGCTTAGATTATAACAAATTTCTGAATAACCAGCTGAATCACTTACAGAATTACTGTGATGAGAAATCTGATCTCAAGTCTTTGGAAAAAGTAGATGATTCTTTTCTATGGTGTGAAGTTGGAAAGTATCTGAATGAATCTCAAGGGGGTACCCCTGGAGGGCCAACAACAGAAGACCTCTGCTGTACTTTGTACGAGATGCTTGCTTCTACCAAAAGTGGCGATGAACTTCAAAATGAGGTACAGTAGTGTATTAACCATACTGCGTGTATTTGAGTGTTGCAAAAATATACGATGATTTCATATTGGATTATGCCAACATACTTTATCCGAGTGTTGTCTACGCTTTTTTTTTGTCTTGAGAAAAATTACATGGCAGCATCTTAATTTACCAGGCAGAAGATGGATGCAGCATGAATTTTATGTGAATAGCCTCCTTTCCTCCATAACAGACAGGGGGGGATTTTTTTTTTTTGTCATTTGCTCAGCTTTTCCGTACTTTCTTTTTAAGCAGTATCCAATTTAAAGTACCATATAAAAGTGTGAGAACTTGCAAAGCCAAACTAAAGTTAACTTTCTTGGTGTCCTGGTTTCGGCTGGCATAGAGTTAATTTTCTTGCTAGTGGCTGGTACAGTGCTGTGTTTTGGATTTAGCATGAGAATAATGTCGATAACACACTGATGGTTTAGTTGTTGCTAAGTAGTGCTTACACTAGTCAAGGACTTTTCAGCTTTCCATGCTCTACCGACTGAGAAGGCTGGAGGTGCACAAGAAGCTGGGAGGGGGCACAGCCAGGACAGCTGACCCCAACTGGCCAAAGGGACATTCCATACCATGTGACGTCATGCTCAGTACATCAACTGGGGGAATTGGCTGGGGGGCAGCGATCGCTGCTTGGGAACTGGCTGGGCATCAGTTGGCAGGTGGTGAGCAATTGCATTGTGTGTCACTTGCTTTGTATATTATTATTATTATTATTATTTTCGCCTCCTTTTCTGTCCTATTAAACTGTCTTCATCTCAACCCATGGGTTTTACACACACCCACACACCCACCCCCTACCCCCCACCCCGATTCTCTCCTCCATCCCACCGTGGGGGCGGGGAGGGTGAGCGAGTGGCTGGGTGGTACTTAGTTGCTGACTGGGGTTAAGCCACAATGCTTGGGCAGGTTCTGTCTCCAGTTTCAGAGCCTTCCTGTTGCTGGAAGGAAAGCTGGAGGACTGTGCAGGTGGTGCTACTCTAAAACTTTGTCATATCACTTCTGTTTCTTTCAATAAGGAAAGGGGGAGGGTTTATTACGAGAAGGGTAGAGAAAGCTTGAGGGAGAGAGAACAGTTGTTAGGAGGCTGGAGTTGAAGGATAAGCGTAGTGGCAGGAAAGGGAAGAGCATGATTAAAGGCTGGTGAAGAGGCTTTCAAGGTGTGTGCAGGAGAGGTGATTGGATTAAGCTAGGCAAGAGAGAACCGCTTTTGAATGGGATTGGGAAAGAATTCCTGCAGTTCGCTAACTGCTTCTTCCTGTGCGCTTTTCTGTTACGTTTACTTTATTTTTCCTACCTTGCCCTGCATTCCTCCCCTGAAAAGATCCAGTACTTAAATTCTCAAACTAACTTTTCAGAAAGACTTTAAATGTTGAGAGTTTGCTACAGAAATACAACTGATGGTAGGAATAGACAATCCTGTGAAAGGCAGTATAATGAAAATTTGCTGGAATGAATTTTGCCATTACAGTTGCAGATTTTATTCTTCGTAACAAAAACATGTAGTGATAGAGAAGAGGACCTGAATATTTCATTTTAGGCTTAGATAACTACATATTGATATCTATTGCATAATGATATAGTTGTCGAAGTCATATTCTTGGGTTTTTTTGGTAGTCAGTAGACCACATTTTGGCTGTCCTTTGAGCTCTTCTCTGTATATGAATATTTTCTTACAAATTTCTTCTAATTTGAGAACCTAAATATGAATATAAAGGGAAGCTGACTTAATTTCTACTGCATTAAAATATATTTGAAAAATAACACTTTTATGCATGTCTGCAAAGTTTCATATATTTGAAAAATAACACTTTTATGCATGTCTGCAAAGTTTCATATTTTGGGTGGTTGTATTGACGGAAGACACATGAAAATAGAAGACTGAACAGGTTTCGGAGAAGGAGATTGGATAAAGAAACTTGCATGTCAAATGAAACAAAAAGTACCTTCATTTGCCATAGGTACCTGAAGTTTATTAATTGTACAGAGATAAAGATTTTTTTTTTTTCCTAGATCAGCAGAAGACTTTTCAGATATAGTCACAGGGTATGCAGAAATAATTCCATACTTCTGCATAATGCCTACTTAATGCCTAAGTTTAATTTGTAAAATGTTAAAGAAAATGCTTGAAACCTTTCACTTGAAGGGAGAAGAAATAACTTTTTATTTTGCGACTTTATGATCATAATGGATCAAAATTGTTTACTCTGCCAACGTACACCTACCTTTCTGAAGATTATTTAGCAAGAGTAAATCCTTTTCTTTGCATTACTAGAGAGAAAAAGGATTCTTTCCCTTGAGTGTCTGAAACCTGTATCTTATTTTGGATTTTTAAGAGGTCTTAGTAATAAAATAAATTTTCTCCCCATTCAGCTTATTTCTGTCCCCATGTTGCCTTTCCTTGCAATAATCTCATTAACTCATTGTTCTTTGCATACTGTGGGGACTGAGAAGGGAGTAAGACTAATCTGATCCTGATCACCTTTTGTTAAAAGCTACCTGACATTTGTATTTTGCTCTCTGTAAGAGTAGTCATGACTTGAAAATTTCTTCTGGGTTTTGGATTTTGCCATCACTTAGGGATTTTTTTTTTTGTAATTTTTTTTATTACAGCAATTTTGCTGGTGGCATCATTAAGAGTAGGTGGTGCTTTTAAACCTGAAAGTAACCCGTTTCTAGAACTAGGTCACAGATTTGCCATATGAGATGGTATAACAAGTATGTGTTTGATCATGCATACTGAAAATCTTACATTAATTGGGGTGATGCATACATGCTAAAGTTTCTATGCTCTACGAAATTATTTTTTTCTTTATAAGCCAAGAAAAAAAAGAACTATTGATATGAAAGGATGCTAATTCTTTGGAAATAAAAATCCAGATCTGTAAAATATATTTTCATATTTTAAAATAGTGGCCATTTCTATTCTTCTGTTTAGGAAGATACCACTGCCTGTTTATTATTAAACAAGAAAAAAAACATGTTGGTGGTGAGGATATAGGCGAGTGGACTTCTCTAGGACAACTTCATTTCATCCTTAAGAAAAGTTTATTAAGATTCCAGATCACATTAAGAATATGAGCATTTTTAGATCATTTCTGGGTTTTTTTGAGGTGTATGTATAGGCACACACGTATGCTATTTAGGTTTTTATCTACTTAATGAACTCCATGAGGAATTGAAATGAGCTTCTTTCTCCAGCACTGTATAGCTTACATTTAATGTGGTTGGCGAGGTACAAGAAATGCTTTCTTCTTTTTTTTCACTATTTAAGAACGTTCCACGCTTCCTTTGGGACAGTTTGTTTGTCTGGCACATCACTGGTGACTCTTAATTAGAGGAAAATTGATTCTTATGTGTGGCGTGATATGGGAGTTATAACTTATTTTCTAAGTGTTTAGGACACGTCCTTTTCATTGGGGACATAAAGTCTAGTAAAGCTAAATGACAGCTACTGGAGCATGCTTTTCACTGTACGTCAAATTTTGTTGATGAGTATGAAATGGTAATGATGCGTTAACAAGAGCATTATTCAAAAAGAGGAAGAAAAAGCTGACAAACTATAGAGTTTAGCCCAATAACCATCATGCTTTTTTAAAATTAAAACTTAGTATGCAGTGCCTTCCTCAACTCTAGTACTCAGTTTCTAGTATACGATGCTTTCAGAATGAAGACTTTGAGGCACCTGAGAGCATTTTAGCAACTTTGCCACCTAACCCCTCCCAGGATAACTAGGAAAAAGTTGGAGGAGTTTAGTCCCTCTTCGGTTACACCATGCTGTTCTCAGAGCGTGTTTCTCTTTCTTCTGTGAACTCTTGTCATATTTTATTTGCAAAGTTTTTCTGAATTTCATTTTGGAGATACCTCTATTTTTGCACTAATGCAAAGGTTCGTTATCCCTTTATCATAACAAGACAGGAAGAAATTTCCTATAGAGGTAAAATAACTAGAGGAAAAAAAGGAAATGCAATCAGAATTGTGTTAAGATCTAGTTTATACTGTATAGATTATGAAAAATTGTGCAATTTATTCATCTCAGGACAAGAAAAAAAATTTGCCCAAATAAAATTAAGAAACATTAATGTCATTCAGTGTGTTAGATTAGATGGTGTTTCCCTGACAAAATAAAGCTAAATGCTGTATAAATTACTAGAACACTATACTATGATATGAAACAGCAGAACTGTTTCAAGAAAATTCCATTGTAAGTAGTAGTTTGCACATTATGTGAGTAGTACATGTTTACTTATCTCTATATATGATACATTTATTTGCCTATAAAATAAGACACAAGAAGTTTACTGCTTTGTCACAACTATAAAGCAGGCAAAAGAAGCCTATCTCCAGTACTCTGCATTAAAATGTAATGTATACATGTACTTGAACTATAGCATCCAGGACTCCCATCAGTTAAATACAATCCAGCAAACTGTCATAGTGGGAAACAAACATTCCTTTTCTATTTCATTTCTAAGAATACTCCATTATTCATCGTTCTTACTAAAAAAAGTGCAATATGGCTTCTTCCTTGTTGTCGTAAACACCTGAGAACATTCAGTTGATGAAAACTACAGTAAGAGGTAGTTACGTGGAGTTTGAAGGTGCTGAACCCTTCCTTCAAGGGTCAAAAACATTCCTTTCAAATCAAAGTAGAGCTGAAATCAGAAAAGTACAAGTTGTGGAATATAGGTTTTATATGATGGAAAAAAAAAGAGGTCAAGAGTTGGGCAGCACCTCTTCCTTAATAGATCCATCCAGTAATATACTCATCACTAGAGCTAGAAGGTTACAGCTTTATTACTGAAATTCAGTTCTTTTCATGCTTATTTCAGAATGGAAGTTAATAGATTATTTTGTTGTTTCATTAAGTAGGATTTTTTTTCAGTGTGGTGTTTGTGTGTCTCTGAATGCTTGATGTAGCAACAGGCTTTTAGACAGTTTTCCCCAGGCTCTGCTACGTGGAGCTCCGTTGTCTCTC